CCCAAAGCCCCAGTAGATAGTTGTATGTCATAGCTGCACATCCTTCTAGTTGCTGTATGTGGGACGCCGCCTCAGCATGGCCGGACAAGCGGTGCATCGGTGCGTGCCAGGGATCTGAACCCGGTCCCGCCAGCAGCGGAGCGCGCGCACTTAACCGCTAAGCCATGGAGCTGGCCCAAGATCCTACATTCTTTTTAATGCTTGCATAATGTTCCACTGTATGATATGAGTACACTACTTTTATTCACGTCTATCACCGCTTTTCCACTCCCTTCACCTTGGACCATCCCATTCCCAGTCTCCCTCATTTTTCCTTTCACCTAGCACCATTTACCCATTCATCTCCTGCCCAGCAGTTCCCGAAACATAGTGATCACTCGATAAGTCTATGTTGCTCCACTGGTCTGTTTCTGACGGCGATTAGCTGTGTGCATTCTTTGAGAAGGAGCCACTGAAGAGACAGAAGAGGGCATTAGTGAAGAAATAAGGTGTTTCACTCGAATAGATGCGGAGGAAGGAGGAGAGCTGGGGTGAGCCTCCTCCAGTGCCTTTGGTGTCTGTCCGAAGCAGAGTGGGCCTCGGAGGGACGAGCCGGGCTTGGAGGACCGAGCTGACCAGCGCCGGGAGCTCCCAGAGGTGGGGCGGACTGTGGGCTCCAGCCGCCTGCGCGGGCGTGGGGCGGACCTGGGTGGGGCTCGGAGGGGCGAGGCCGGCCGGGGGGCGGGGCTGGACGGACGCAGCGCGCAGACGCGCAGCGGCTGGCCGCCTGTGCGGTGCTGTAGGCTGGGTGCTTTCCTGGGGCGTCATGGGGCTCACCGCTGGGGAGCTCGTCTCGTCGCTTCTGGGGCTGTGGCTGCTGCTGTGCAGCTGGGGGTGCCCCGGGAGCGCCGAGCCACGGGCCCCGCCGGATAAGATCGGTAGGCGAGAGGGGCGCGGCGCGGAAGCGGGTGCGGGAGGGCTCCCCGCGCCGGCCGGCCGCCGCGTAGTGCACAGGCTCCGCACCGCGACGCCCGCCGGGCCGCGTGGGCCGCGCTCTTCCCGGTTCGCGCCTCGGGGCCGTTTTCGGTGCCCCAGGCACCGTGCCTTCCCGGGCGTAGAGATATGCCCACTTGAGGAATGGGCCGTGGAGGAGGGTACGGGGCGGGTGGGCGGCCTCCAAGCGTCGCTGCAGCCCCTGTCTCGGAGGCTCCTCTCGCCGCCTTGCCTTGCTGCACCTTGGGAGGCCGGTCCTCTGGTTCGTCCTGGAGCGACCGGCCGCTTCTTCTCTGCAAATGACAGGCGCACGCGGGCACCGCACGCAGAGCAGTGCAGACAAGCTGAGCCCGTCTGCTTCCCCTGATAGGCTGGAACCCCCTGCCCTCCGTCCGCTTTGCTGAGGTGGCCTGCTCTCAGAGACCCCTGACTTGCACACTTTCTCTGCCTAGGACTCCTACACAGCCGAAATAATCCACTCTTTTTCCAGTTTCAGTCGTCTTGGTTTTTTGCTCCCTGTTTATTTTGTTTTGCTTTGTTTTTTGTTCCCCATAGAGCTGTGTTCTTTGGGTTCATTAACCTACCTACATTAATGAGACAGAACAAATCTAGGCAAAAATGGCGGCCACTGATTTAAAATGCGTGCTGGAAAGGCCCACCTCCTCTGTTCCCATGCATTGGGCACAAGAAAGGGTGTGCGGGCCTGTTGGTGCCTCGACTAAGAAATGTGAGAATCTTTGGGCATCTGGCAAGAAAAAAAGATCTAATGTCAATTTATAGGTTAATCTACCACTTTTGTCTGGGGCAATGTCTGTCCAGCTTCAGAGAGTTCTGTCTTCACTGCAACTGGTCACTTGCCTTCCTCTCCCCAAGCTTCCCCAAATTGTTGACAAAAAAAATAGTTGGTAAATGGGAAAGAAATTGTTCCTTTTTTCCCCCTTAGCGATCATCGGAGCTGGAATTGGTGGCACTTCAGCAGCCTATTATCTGCGGCAGAAATTTGGGAAAGATGTGAAGATTGACCTGTTTGAAAAAGGAGAGGTGGGGGGCCGTCTGGCCACCTTGACTGTGCGGGGGCAAGACTATGAGGCAGGAGGTTCTGTCATCCATCCTTTAAATCTGCACATGAAGCGTTTTGTCAAGGACCTGGGTAGGTAATTTGGTCTTAGAGCTAAGCAGATTTCTGTGTGACCATCCATGGATGTTTTTATCATATAGGGAGCTGAAACTTTTCTGCCTTGTTAATTGTCTTTTACAGAGAAGTTGGTAAAACTGTTTTCCTCACTTTCCTGCTAGCAATTGGTACTGCCTTAGGAGCCACTCTCCTGTAATGGGATGCTAGTTATCTGTATCTTCAGTTATCTGGAATTACAACCATAGGGTGGAGGTGGGGGTGGTTGCTCTTCTTAGTTCTTAAACCTCTGGGTTCATGTTGAAGAATTAAAGAATGGTTTGCATTAGCAGAAACCTGGTGTGCTCATTTTGCAGCTGGGGAAATGAGGCCCAGAGGCTTAAAGTGTCTGGCCTAAAGTCACTCACACAGCTTAGGGTGCAGACATATGCCTGGAACCTGGCACACCTGACTACTTTCCTACCAGCAGAGGAGCTGGGACAGGTTGTGGGGGAGGTCTGGCAGGCCTCTGCAGGTCCTTTCTTGCAGGAATTTTTGTGTAATTTTAGCCTCCTTCCAGTTATCTGAAATATCCAGTTATGCAAAATAGGCTTTGCATAGGAATGGGGATGCCTCCTTTCCCTAAGCTGCCTTCCACATCTCCTGTGGATGCTTCCTGGGCCTCTCTTTCCTCCATAAGGGCAAATATTTGCCAGGAGCAGTTTATGCTGCAAAGATTCATGACTGGCATTTCTGTTTTTAACTTGAATTCAGTTGGTACTCTGGCATTTTCCTTTGACTTTTTAGCCTTTTTAGGCTAAAAGTAGCCAGTGTAATTTTGATATATCTGCATGATCATTTGATCCATCTTTTGGAGACTCTGCTTTTGGACAGTGTAGTGAGTGTGTCGTGTATCACACACTGTTCTAAAGATAGAGCTTCTTTAATATGTCTCCTGAGAACTGAGGTAAGCCCGGAATTCACTCACTTCAGAGTGTCCCTGATAGCCTCAGATTACCTTCTTTCATTTGATCAGCATAGAAACCACTGACTTAGCTACCTTTTCTCTGTTTTTGCAGGTCTCTCTACTGTTCAGAGCTCTGGTGGCCTAATGGGGGTGTATAATGGAGAAACTTTGGTGTTTGAGGAGAGCAGCTGGTTTATAATTAACATGATTAAACTAATTTGGCAATATGGATTTCAGTCCCTCCGAATGCACATGTGGGTAGAGGATATATTAGACAAGTTTATGAGGTAATTTTTTCTCTTCCATTTAACCTAAGACCTTTTAGTTAGATGATCTTTAGGAGGTATAGTTTCTTGGAACAGTTCTCTACCTAACTGCAAGGCCTGTTTGCAAGACTGTTAGGCAAAATGTTTTGTATAAAACATGTGAGCTGTTTATCCACTTGGAAGTTGAAAGAGTAGTTTATTTTTGCTTCTGAAAATGTATATTGCAAATGCTTATTTAGTGTTACCAGGCACTGTTAAATACTCTACAAATACTAACCCCTTGAATTCTCATGACAGCTCTTTCAGGTAGGTACTGTTATTAGCTTCTTTTTACAGATGTGGAAGGTGGAGGCATAGAGGTGTTTCAAGTGTGCAAGTACACCCACCTAATAAGTGGTGGTACTGGGGTTCCTACCTAGGCTCTGGCTCCAGAGTCCTCACTCTTAATCTCTGCGCTGTGCTGGTGTTGTGTAGATGAGTGAGTTAATGTGTATAAGAGCTTATAGAAAGGATCAGAAAGCTTAAATGAGCTTTAATTGTAACATGATGTTTCAGTGGGCCAGCAGCCTGAGGTAGAGTATCAGTTCTGTGCCTCACGAATTTAAATTAAGATACTACATTCCAGCACTGTTCTGGGTAGTGGGAATACAGGTGGCATTTTTTCTTATTTATGTTTTTCTGTAGTTTCAAAATTTTCTATGTGTATGAATGTGCATTGCTTTGTAATTAGGAAAAATAACATATAATAACCAGTCTGACTTTGAAAGATGCAACCTATTTTTTTTTTTAAGGCGGTTGGCATGTGCTGATTTTTATACTGGTTTACAATTTTAGATGCTGGAGAAATTCAACTTGTAAATGCTAATAATAGTTCATTGCTATGACTGTTCCAACATAATAAAGTAATGTTAAAAAGGTAAAATTACGTGTCATATGACTGAGTATTGCCCAGGACAAATATAGGAGTTGAGTAGGATAAATACACTCTAGTTACTGTAACTTAAAATATTAGTTAGAGATTTCTTTTCTTTCTAAACGTCATTCTTGGGCCGGCCCTGTGGCTTGGCGGTTTAAGTGCGTGCGCTCCGCTGCTGGCGGCCCGGGTTCGGATCCCGGGCGCGCACCGACGCACCGCTTCTCTGGCCATGCTGAGGCCGCGTCCCACGTACAGCAACTAGAAGGATGTGCAGCTATGACATACAACTATCTACTGGGGCTTTGGGGGAAAAAATAAATAAATAAATAAACATCATTCTTAGGTCAATTCCCTGAACACCTTTTCAGTAGGTACATTCAGTTCAGCTACAGTGCAGATTGTTTTATTTTTTATTTTTATTTTTAAAGATTTTATTTATTTATTTTTTCCCCCCAAAGCCCCAGTAGATAGTTGTATGTCATAGTTCCACATCCTTCTAGTTGCTGTACGTGGGACGCGGCCTCAGCATGGCCGGAGAAGCGGTGCGTTGGTGCGTGCCTGGGATCCGAACCGGGCCGCCAGCAGCGGAGCGCGCGCACTTAACCGCCAAGCCACGGGGCCGGCCCCAGATTGTTTTAAAGTAGGCATTCATTCATTAATTCATTCACCAAATATTGAGTGACAGGCACTATGCTAGGTCCTGAGGGTATAGAACCTAGAACATGTCCCTGCCCTCAAAGTATATACATACTAGTAGAGACAAGCAATAAACTAATAACTAAAAAAATATATAGAATTTGTGTAGAGACAGCCAGTCACTTTTTAAAGAAGATAGGTGGCATGTTGCTGCACACTCAGCAGGAAAATCAAGTTTAGGTGGCATCAGATGCAGCTCTGCTTATAACAGTCTTCTTATCTGTGGCTTGCTTGACATGTAGAAAGTTGCCCTTTGAGAAATTAAGAAATCACTTTTGAAGTGAATTCAAGGTATTACAGAACTGTGAAAAATACTATTTTTGATTTTAGAAGACAATTTCCAAGCTCTATGAAATTACTGCCCTCCTCAGTCTGTCTTTGATATTTGATTATATAGTATTGACCTTTATGTTTAAAGGGTCATGTATCATACATTTCTGTTTCTTTCAATAAATCAAGAACATACAAGTCTTATTTTGATAATTTTATCATGCCCTGTGCGATAGTTGGAGAGAAGGCTGGTATTGCACCAGCATGCGCCAGTTGTTAAAGTAGTGAAATACTGCTGGATGTGAAATAGCTGCCACCCTGTGTGTTCCCACTCAAGGCATCTGCCTGCTCTTTGGGACCGCGCTCCCCGCCGCCAGCAGGGAGTCTTGACTCAGTTCCAGTGCTGTCGTCAGTCTACTTTCTGTTTAATTCTGTACCAGTTGTTAAATATTTGTGGTATCACCCCATGTTGGAGTTACTCTGGAATGTCACAACCAGGATTGGGAGCTAGGAGGTTGCCAAAGAGGAATCTGCAACAGTGAATTCCCCTGCATTTCAGTAAAGCAGTGGTTCTCAACCCTGGCTGCACGTTAGAATCACTTGAAGATCTTTTTAAAATAAGAATGCTGTGTTCCACCCCTAGAGATTTTTGATCTCGTTGTTCTGGAGTAGAGGTCTGGGCATTGGTATTTTTAAAAGCACCTCAAGTGAATCTTAACTTACAGCCAGAGTTGAGAACCACTAGGTTAAAATGTGCAGTTGGAGAATATTCTTGAGTTTTTTCTTTCTTTGAATGGTATAGAAACCTAATGGTCTTGCTCAAAAAGTTTTCTCCCTTTTTTGGATACATGTGACAGATCCAGTTGGGTCCCCTTGAAAGTGGCCTGTGTGATTTTCTGCAGAAAACTTTTTGAGGGATTTGCTCATCAGCTTTGGGGAGGTATCTTGTCCTTTTTCTGCTTCCATTTCAGGGAGTGTACAGTGTGAACGAAGGCTCATATGACAGTAGTAAACCATGACACTTGAAAGAGGGTTCAAGCTTGTGGTAGGCAACGTTGCACACCCCTAGGAGTATGCATTCATTCGTCTCACTGTTGGACGTAGTTAGGTGGAAATCCTGCAGCCCGTGATAGCCACACTTGCCAGGTTAATTTCCAGTTTTGAGTATTTATTTATGCAGTTCTTCTGGTTGGATGCCATTCTTACTCCAAAGTCCAATCTCGTATCTCACTCTTTCAACAAAACCTTCCCCTAATACTCTAGTCACCATTCATCTCTCTTCACACATCCCTTGGTATTAGATGGTGCATACCACACCCACCTGTGTTGTTCTATAGTATGCACAGTAACTCGAATGTAGTAGATAATTCACTCAAATGTTTGTTGAATTGAATCCTCCGGTCCACTGATGGCTTCCTGTTGGGATATCTTGGCTTGGAGGCTAGGTTAAAGCTCATTCGTGCCTCTAGCACTTAGCATTTCTGGGGACATGTTAGATCCTTAACACTTCTTGATCTGAGACTGATAGGACTCACAGTGAAAGGCTTTATAAACACCCTTTTTTTCTTTCTAGTTACTGCTAACAAATATTTTGTCATTTTTTGTTTCTTTCTCTCATTTTCCAAATCCAATTTATCTGGAATCCTGTCAGTCTTTAAAATATATCCAGAATTCCACCACTTCTCACCACCACCACTGCTATCACTTTGATCTAAGCCACTATTATCTTTTGTCTGGATTGCTGGAATAGCCTCCTGTGGTAGGCTGAATAATGCCTCCCTCCTCCTTCAAGATGTCTGTATCCTAATCCCTGGAACCTCTGAATGTGTTGCCTTACATGGTAAAAGGGACTTTGCAGATATGATCAGGTTAAGGGTCTTGAAATTGGGAGATTTTTATTTTTATTTATTTATTTTTTATTTATTTTTTAATTTTTTTGTTTATTGCAGTAACATTGGTTTATAACATTGTAAAAATTTCAGGTGTACATCATTGTACTTCTATTTCTGCATAGATTACATCATGTTCACCACCAAAATACTAATTACAACCCATCACCACACACATGTACCGAATTATCCCTTTTACCCTCCTCTCTCCCCCCTTTCCCTCTGGTAACCACCAATCCAGGGAGACTTTTCTTGATTATTTAGGTGTAGCCTATATAATCCACAGGGGTCCTTATAAGAGGGAGGTAGGAGGATCAAAATGAGTAGTAGGAGATGTGGTGATGGAAGCAAGAGGTTGGGGTGATGCTAGGAAGGGGCCATAAGTCAAGGAATGCAGGTGGTTTATAGAAACTGAAAAAGGCAAGAAGATGGATTCTTCCCTCAGAGCTTCCAGAAGGAACTAGCTTTGCCAACACTTTGACTTTAGCCCAGTGAGATTGACTTTGGGTTTCTAACCTGCAGAACCATAAGATAATTTGTGTTGTTTTAAGCCACTGAGTTTGTGTTAATTTGTTACAGCAGCAATGGGAAACTGATACACCTCCTAATTCATTTCCCTGCTTTTGCTCTTGTGCCACCACAGTCTATTTTCAGCATAGCAGCCAAAGTGGTCGTGTTAAAATCTAAGAGTCATCACATTACTTCTCTGCTCAGAAACTTTCAATGGCTATTTCATGCAGAGAAATGGCAAAAATCTGTACCATGGTTTGGAAGACCTGACAGGACATAGATAATCCCATCCCTTATTTTTGTGTTTCCTGTTTGTATGGGCAGAATTGTGCCCCCTTCCCCTAATTCATATGTTGAAGCCCTAAACCCCTGTACCTCAAAGTATGACTGTATTTGGAGATAGGACTTTTAATGAGGTAATTAAGTTAAAATGAGGCCATTAGGGTGGGCCGTATCCAATCTGACTGGTGTCCTTATAAGAAGAGATTAGAACACACAGAAGAGACACGAGAAGTGTGCATACACAGAGGAAAGACCATGTGAGGACACAGTGAGAAGGTGGCCATCTGCAAGCCAAGCAGATAGGCTTCAGAAGAAACCAGACCTGCCAATGCCGTGATCTTAGATTTCTAGTGTCCAGAACTGTAAGAAATACATTTCTGTTGTTTAAGCCACCCAGTCTGTGATACTTTATTGTGGCAGTCCTAGTGAACTAATATACTGTTGATCTTCTGCCTACT